GATGTAAACCAGCTCTGGCTTGGCAACAGGAAAGCATCCTGACAACTCCTGTTGAAGTGCACCAAAGCTAAAGCAAGAATCAGGCACAGCCCCTCGTTTGCCTTTAATATGGGTAACAGATTGGTGATGGCATGCACACAGCTCCAGGAGTGTTGTTAGGATTAATCTTCTGCCTGGCTCTCATTGTTTTTCTTTCATTTACTATTTATGTCTATGATTTAATGACTCCCTTCCCTTCCAAAATATTCTGTAGCTTCAGGAGCAGCAAAAGCCACAGCAGCCTCAGCTGGAAACAGGAGAGTTCAGGGCCAAGGGAAATGTCTGTGGGAAACCAGTTTCCACACTGGTACATCATCATCTAAAGAACTGCTATTTTAATCAAGGGATTAGCCTCTGAGCAACATAAAAAGATGTCTGCTACTTACAGAATGGTATTTTCCCTAACACCATAGCACATGATCAGAGACAAAAATGATGAAGATAGTCCTTCAGATATTGTAACGAGGACAAAAACACAATCAATAGCAGTTTGAACCACTAATGATCTTTTTTATTAGAGTAATACTGAAAAGGTATTAGGGTGCTTCCATACAAGTCAGGGGATTCAGTCTGTGAAGGATTTTAAGTCTGAGACATTCTGCTTTAGAGCTGAAAGGCCAAACACCCCATTTAGATTCTGCTTCTGAATTACTACAGGCATGACAGGTAAGATACACAGAGTGGAATCAGAGGTGATCACAAGAGTAAGGAAGAAGCAAACCAAGTGTATGAATACTTTATTTACATCATATAAAGTACCATAAAAGGATGCATCCCAACTAGCAGTACAGCACACACACAAACTAGCAAACTGCAGTGTCAGGGGTGATCTCAGCCGATTTAATCAAAGACATTTTTAACCTCAAGTCTACAATTAACCCAGAGCTACTGAGCTATTAAAACATTCACACCACTGTAGCCCGAGTCCCACCTATCACCTTCTGAACACAAGATGTGTGCGTGATGCTCTCAGGCCTGCAGTATCAGTCTGTTCAGCATTGCCGACAGTGACAGTACACAGACGATACACAGACAGCGTCAAACATAACAGCTTCATCCATCAGAAAAATGAAAGAAAGCAGCAAGAAACGCCAATCAGAGCTTCAGCACGTTAACACATTTATACCAATATACTATACATTTTACTGAGTACTGGTTAAAAAATACTGATGTATTGCTACACCATGCTTTTTGGATCTCATCACCTGCAAAGAGAACACAGTTCAAGACAAAAACACTGATTTATGAGCTATTCAGGTGCCTACAGGTAGATGTCATGGAGACTTTCAGAAGCTTTGCTCTAGATGTTTAGGTACCTAAATTGCTTTGTAGATCTGGCCCTGTTGCTAGCACTGCTTTTATTATTGCCAACATTAGTATGAATTGCACACCTGTGGTGATGCAGTAGAGAATATTAACTTTTTTTAAACCTCAAATGCAAGAGAAGTATTGACTTTTATTTCACAAAATACTTCTGGTTTGAAAAAAATGTGTTAGGCAATTTGGAGTGCATGGACCTCTTTGTCAGTAAGAAACAGCGCAAGACAGATAACGACAGGCAAACAAACAATGCGCTTTTCCATAGGGAATGATTCCAGCCAGTGCCACAAATTCCCCGTAGGAAGTCCTCATGCAGACAGCAACCACAGAGCTTGTATTAACCGCTGGTGAGAAATCTTAAAGTGAGCAAAGCCATCACTTTATGAAAGCATCACCAGAGTGTTCAGGTCGCCCTCCAGCTGTCCAGGACCTCAGCATGGCGTATGTGACACCACCGAACAGCCCCAGTCCCAGGTGGCACTTTTACTGTGCTGCGGTGTCACAGCTCGAGATGCAGAACAGCCTCATGGAACAGGTACAAAACAAAGAGGTACTGGGAGGGCAAGAGGTGTACGATGTTGATTGCTTACAGTGTACAAGTATCTGTGCTCATCTATATTCTGAATATGAGCAGGCACTCGAAGAATATACTTTTTATGTACAATACACAGGCTTAGAATAACTGACACTGCAGGTTACCCCAGTTCTCGTATGCCTGTTCTGCACACAAGCACCTGCAGTTCTGCGTTGACTGAAACATGCCATTTCACTGTAACAGAGGGCTTACAGCCGTCTTAAGTAAGCACAGCTCAGAAGAATGTATTATCTGATCCAATTTTAAATAATTGACGCCTGTTGATTGGGTTCTTCAACACTCACGACACAACCCACACTAACATTAAAAAAGGCATTGCTATAATTTGTTTCTAACACACTTTCTAAAGGTAACAAGGCAGATGAGACATGCACAGGGCTCCTCCTTCCCCTGCGGCGAGGCGTTAGGAACTCATGTGGGTGACAGTAGTTACGAATGAAAGCCACAGGAAACCCAACTCCAGTGCTGCTTTCACTGAA